TAATAAATGAATTGATTGTTTTGACTTAATTGTGATTTATGTGAATCAAATTATCTCAATGAGATTCAGAGAGTTACAACAATTTGATTATCATCCTTGATGATTAACTTAATGTTCATTAATTTGATGAGATTTCATGTACCTGGAAAAAAAGTGTTGATCATTTTAATTGTGATTACGATTAAGATGATTTATCGTTAGTGATATGAAATGATTATCATGGTTAAATCGGTCAAGCAGTTAGTTAACTAATCAATCCTTTTGATTTAATTCCCATCAACATAATGTGTATATTAAAACAACAATTAACATCCCTCACAATCAAAGGATGAAAAAAAGCCTCTCAATCAATCTAATTGTTAATTGTTCAATCAAGAGCTAATCAGAGTCTCGTTTAACAATCAGTTGCACTTTTTTTTACACTTTCACTTTAATTATTACCTAATCAAATAATTAATCAATCTAATTGATGAAAGTTTAAGTTTGATCGTTGTTGATTAGGATTAGATTAGTTTATATTGTGTAAGGACAATTAATCCAATTGTGAAAAAAAATTAGTATAATGATCATTCAAGTTGAAAAATTTTCCCAATCAAATCAAATCAAATCAAAAGTAATGATTATATTTTTTTATCAAAAATTAATCTTTCAAATCAACAATTGTCCTAAATCATGTACTAATGATTAAGAGACACAATTTGTTACAATCAAGATTAAATTTACTCCCAATCTAACTCAGTTCAATTTAATCTCAATGATTAACCAAAATCACCACGAAAAAGTATCAACTTTGATTTGATTGAAACGATTAATGATTAAATAACTAAGGGAATTGTAAAAAATGATACCTAATGATGATCAGTTGATTAACAATTAACCATTGATTAAACTTTTACCTTAATCAATTAAGATGATAATGAATTAAAATGATTTAATGTCAAACCCGGATGTGAATATGAACTCAAATATAAACCAGACAGAGTAAAGTTAATTTTGTTAATGTTTAAACATTATTATGAATACAATTTAGTTAATTGTTGTTATCGGTTGTACTTTAAACAAATGTGTCAATGAAAACACAGTCATGATCATAATAATAACAATTTAACAACAATTTAAATGGTTAAATAACTTTATATTTATACTGAACATTATGATTACTGGAATTAAAAAACATTTCATCAATTTATGATTGTTGTAAATAGTAATTCAGTCAATGAATTAATTGTCACAATCAAAAACAAAACGTTAAGTGTAAAAAGTTGTGTGATTGATTAGTTAAACTTTTCATATTTATCAACAATTAATTAACTATTATTATTAATATCTGAATGGTAATCAATAAGTTTTCACCAAAACTATTAATATAATAGTTTTAATTATCAGTAACTATTGATAATTAAGGTTAACTTTCATTAATTGATTGGAAAGTTAAACATCATTATGATTGTAAATTAGTAAATTGTTGGTTAATCATAATTATCCGCAATGATATTTGAATAAAAATCATTAACTTTGTCTCGATTATGAAAATGAATTAATGAAAGTTAAACAATCAGGTTAATTGCTTGAGCTAAAAAGTTATAAAAACGTAATCAACTTTCAAATGATCACAATTAAGAAATTATTTTTTTATTTATATTGATAAAAAAAACTACAATTTAATTAGAAACTAAAAGTGTAAATGAAATTAGGATAATCAATAAGACAAAATCATCCTAGTTAATTAATTAATTACAATTATACAGCACAATCAGGGTACCAGGTCTATTTGATTATAATTAATTTAATAATTGTCATTAAAAACAATGATTAAGCGTTAAAATTGTAATTGATTATTCATTGAATTGATGATAAATTGCCCATCCAGAAAGTGAATCAACTTTTACAACAATTAACAAACTGCTCACCAATTTACTGGCAAAAATATCCCATACAATTAATCATCAAGTTAATCATTGAGCTTAATCAATGATGATGATAGTTAATAAGATCAGAATCAGAGTGATGATAATAGGATGAAGATGAAATTGATTCTTAATTGTTGATAGCTTGACGAAAAAACTTTCATCTTATTTAAGTGTCAGATTGTTAATGATTAAGGATGATAAAGATGAAGACAGGGTCATTTGACTCATCATCTTATCTTCATCCTCATCTTGATGATGGTTCTCTCTCTCTCTCTCTCTCTCTCTCTCTCTCTCTCTCTCTCTCTCTCTCTCTCTCATCATTAATGTCAACAGATTAATGACCTAAGCCCTTGATCGGACTTGATCCATATGATATAACTTTTAATTAGATAATTGTTACTAAACATAATCACGATTACGCCACTAATTGGACTCATCATGATATCCAAATAGAGATAAATTTAATTATTAGTTATTGATGAGAACTAATAAAGTTACGCAATTAACTGCTATTGATTGAATTTCGAGAAGTAGTTAAATTTAATGTTAATCATTGGATGTCAATTAATTAGTCCTTCTTATTAATCATTTCAAACTTTTTCCATTTCGAAACTTGAGTAAAAGGGAAAGTTGATGAATCGAATAAAGTTTCAAGTGATTCGTTTGATCGCTTCGATTTTAGTCCAAAACGATTGAAATTCGACCTCGACACAAAACTTTGCTTTCGATCGGTTGTCAGTTGATGGTCAATATCCTATTGGAATATCTTATCATTTCAAATCGACAATTTTTTCCCAATAATAATTCTGATTGACTGATTTTCGCCAAATCTCAAATGAACATCTAGATTTCTGGGTAATCTGTTAAAAAGTAATATTTTCCACCATTAGTTGATTGAATTTAATTGAATTGATTTGATTTTTATCCTTGATTTTACAAAAGATAATAATTAACAACAACTTGATTAGTCCAACTCTGAGTATCATCAAGAATTGAGTACAAAAAACATTAACCTTTATTTTTCATCCTTTCCTTTTTTATCTTCATCATTTTTTATTTGCTCATCCTCATCATCTACATCCTCATTCAGATGATGACAAATCTACCTGTTGAAACTCAAACAAGTTAATCCAAGGCCAAAGATCCTATTGACTCGTCGAGTCCTCGAAGGTTGTTGCCATGAGAAGATGAAGATAATGATGATAAACCCACCACAGAACGAGATGATTACTTTCATTGGCACACCCAATTATCATCTTCATCTTTCTTATCATCATCAGTTTCATTATCATCAAACAATAATCAGAATCAAGATTACCTTTGATTTTTGGATAAACTTTTTGATTGTGAAAATAAAAGTTAATAAACTTTCATTGATGATTAAATAACCCGTTCAACTAACCAGTTTAACAACCTAGGCAATTTAACAATCAATGTTCAACAATTAGTTGATTGTCTTCATCGCATTTAACAGTTTCAATCCTGGATTAACATGTAATAAGCAATCGGCTTGTAATGTATCAACAGTAATCAAAGATAAATTGTTAGAATGAATCAAATTAATCTTGCCCCCTTTTAATTTTTCACAATTTAACTTTTAACTGATCAGATTGTATAATACTTGGATTGATAAATAACAAGTTGATTAACTTTGTTTATAATATTAAAATTGATTATCAATCATTTGAGTTTACCAAAAATTTGATAATCAGTTTTTAATTGTGATTCCAAATTAAATCATTCATTGATAATCAAGGTTTGTCCAGTAATTACTTAACTGTAATGACCAGTTAACCTGAATCAAACTGGTTTCAACAATTTAACAAAAATATTACTGACCAACATTTAAATTGTTCATGTAATTATTTAACCAATTTTAATTTCCAACAATTTAGTAATCAAACAGTTGATCATTAAACAACACATAAAAGCAACACATAATCTACTTCCCTTTGACAATTAATAACGGTTACTATTAATAACAATTTACACAACAATCAATCTAATTTCCGCTTATAATAATATCCTAATGATTTCCATGATTTAAATTGTAAATATTGTTACGATTCTTATACCGATCAACCTTATTCTTAAAAAACTGTCTACCGTTGTGAAATAAACACCAACTTTGACTCAAAGTGACCTTTAACCGAAACGGTCTTAGTTAATGGCCCAAGGGACATTATCATCATGCGGCAAACCGGCATCATCACGACGAGAGTGACAGAAACTATTGATCTCTTTGGTCCGAAGCTTATTGAATTCTGGAGTTCAAATAATAAGATATTAGTTGGGGGAAGGCTTTTAATTAGTATTAATATTTAAATCTTGTTACAGAAGCAAATTTGCTTTAATTGTGCCTCTAAACTTTACCATTGATGTTTGAAGTCCAAGGCCACAATAAGGGACTATTAGCTATTATTAATACAGCAAATAATTAGGTATTTTCTTTAATTTAACTCTACATCTTTGTATATTTCTTCTATTAGGGTGATTCACTCAAAGGTACGGACGTTTGAATTTAAATGATTTTTTGAAAACTCATCTGATTCTAATTATATTGTACAATTTGTGTTCACAAGAATCTAGTTTGATAATGTAGGGTGAAATTCTCGATCTAAATTCACTAGTTTTCGAAAATTCGAACTTAACATAAAAAATCGAGAAAAATCACTTTTTCTGAGTTTGGAAGGGCCTAGAAAATCAATTAATCAGTTGATTTTTTTTCTGAAAGCTTAATTATAATCACCTAAGTCTTTTTAATAGATTAAGGTAATTAGAAATTTTACAATTGATAGAATAAAGATTTAGTGGACAATCGAAGCGAAAAAGTCCAAAAAGTTTGCCGAGCAAATCAAAGGGGGGAGTATTACTTTTTTTGGAAATTTGTTATTTTTGAAAATTGACTTTTTTCGACTTTTTTACAATAATTAATTAATTGTTCGATTTATTAATATTTTTTTAATTAAAATAAAATTCTTACTATCTTCTCGCTAGTTTAAGATAGATATTAAAAAAATCGTACCACTAATTAAATCAAAAATCAAAAATGAAGTTCCGTAACTTTGAGTGAATCAATCTAATAGATAAACAATTCTAGGAAACGAAAAGTCCCAGCCTATAACCAAGAAGGATCTAAGAGACGGAGAACGCCACCTCAGGTCAATTCAACAAATCAGGTTTGGCTACATCTCATTCCTCCAAACATTTATATCATTCAATCATTATAACTCTTTCTTAACATTTTCTTATAGGGACCATCGAAAATGATCCCCGACTACGTCGAGAATCCAAGCCGTCGGCTAAAATTACTAGAAAATTTGGGATATGTGAAGATTTCAACAAAATTCGTTTTAGAAAAGGTATTTAAAAACCGCCGAAATACTAGATACACCACCTCTTTTAGAATCTCTAGTGTTTACATTGTGTTCTTGTTATAGCTCTACTAAAGTTCTATTATATTTCTAACTTAACAAATTCTATTTTATTTTATTTTACTAGATAAATATGACCTTTTTCATTTTAGGTCAAAACACCACAGTGAGTAGCAGAGTTTTCGATAACATTTCTAGATTGATTGTTGGTGTCCATGACCGCAAACCGGGATGCCATATTGTTGCTGCTTTTCAAGAGCTCAGTGTATCCCGCATCCAACATCTCAAAAGAGGAAAAGTGTTTTTACGTGATAATGCGATTCAGGATGTGCCTGGCTTTATTAAAAAAGTTTGGATGACCGAACTCATGACAATTTACGATGAAGACCATTTCGAGAAAGTATGGCAATTCGATACCGATCGCTGTGACATCCAATACACCATTGGAGTCAGTAAAAATGGTCACCGTTTGGGTGTTGTTAACGTTCATAAGCCATCCCATAATACAGTGGCCTTGGATCGAACATTTTTCGCCAATCTGTGTTCGGTCTTAGAAAGGGGTTATTTCGGTGGATTGGACAATACCCATTGTCATTAAGATCCAGTCGATAGTATGATTTTGGTGGGCGATTTCAACTTACGCAACATTTTCAATAAATGTGTTGAGGAGACAACTGAGAAAGAAAGACGTTTGTTGGCCATTTTACTAACATTCAGTTTGTTTCCTCATTCGGATCTTCCAACCAGAAATGGTCTCTGCATTGATTATATTTGTCATTCCAACAATATGGAATGTAAGAAACCTTTCGAAATAAAATCGAATGGATCTGATCACAAACCTGTTGCTGGACTTTTTCTGGAAATATAAGAAAATATCCACAATACGGGACTATTAGGTGATTTGTAGAGTAAATAATTAACATAATCAATTATCTGTTACTAGCAAACAATTAAACATAATCAGGTAAAAACTTTAATCGCTATTTGTACCGAATTCAATAACCTATGGCCAATTGATTGAGATTATTTAAACTTAAAGTTAATTTGTATAGTTAATTTCATAGAGTTTGGCTAACTATTGGTTAACATTGAACAATCAAACATTTAATTGTAATTTGCCTGAAAACCTTGAGGAAAAAATTAAATTAAACAAACAATTAGCCGAAAACAATGAGAAAAAATTTGATTAAAGTCAACATGTTATTATTACAATTACAATTAGCTAATCATTAATGAGATAAATGATAACCGTTATATTACAATTGACTGTCAGCAATCAAATAAGAGTTTGTATTTAGTTAATCAACCAGAAAATTGATCAAAAACTTAAACAATTTAAACTGAACATGAAGAAAAACTTTAAATTTTTCCTTCTAATTCACAATTTATTCCGGTTTTTTTTTGGTTCCTTTTTGATTATTTATATTTAATCAGTTAACCAACAATCAAGTAAAAAATATTAATTGTTGTGATAATAATGAGGTGAAACTGTTGACTGAATTATTATATTAAATAAAAATATCACGTATTAATAGTTGATATTATATCACGATTGTGAACGTGTTGGGTTCATGTTGCAATTTAAAGTTGTATCAACTTTAAGATAACAATTTAGTAATTGTTATGTTAATTGTTAATTGTTAAGAATCTGGTAACTTCTTCATTTGTATTCACATAATTATCTAATCATCAATTAACTTGATCCCTTTCTAATCAACTTGAGTTGTGAGTTTCTTGGTTGACATAAATAAAAGTTTTTCCTTTTGTTTTTTTTTTCTGGTTAATTTTTTCAGTTAATTTCCTCTCACTGATTCTCTTGGTGATTAAATGATTTTCTAATCAATTAATTGCACTCCGTTATTTATCAATGATTAATTAACACACCAGTTTTTGGGGCTAAAAACAATCAATTGATTGTTATTATGAGACGGATTGAAGAAAAGGTGTCATTATTATTATTAAATGTTCATCTGATTGTTGTTCTGATTAACTTTAATATCAATCAGATCGTATTGTTAAAATGTGATTAAGATGATTGTTTCACTGTCTATTATTTGGATATTGTTTAGTTGTTTTCACGTTGATTAGATTAAGTTAATTAGTGAATGTGTGTGCGTGTCCAATGTTTATATCAGTTGATTATAAGTAAATGTAATTTTCCAATACATATCATTGTCTTTCCCACTGCAATTAACTCAATTGTTGGCTATTTACAAATATTACGATTATAAAATTTACTGTCGTCATCAATTTCGTCATCGTAATTAATCATTAATCATTGATTAAAGATGAGAGAGAGAGAGAGAGAGAGAGAGAGAGAAATTAAATCAACAATTAACGTATACAGAACGATGAACTTGAAACAAGAATTAATAAATCATAGAAATAGATTAAATTAGTAAGAATACAATCAAATGACTGGTGAGTTATTAAAATTTATCTTAGTAACAATTTAATTAATTGGTATAGTTGATTTTCCAATGTAAATCAGCCATTGACAGTCAGATTTTGACACAATTGAGACACAATTTTTTTTTTCAATCAGCAACAATTAAACCTTGAGAATCACAGGATTGAAGTTTGAGAGACTGGGAAAAAACAGATTAACTGTATTAATGAATAATAGTAATAAAGATAATCAACTAATCATCATGATAGTAATGAGATAATAATAATGAGAAAATACAGATAATGTTATTAAATGGAGCCACTAGAAGACGTAATAATTATTACAATTACAAGGGATACAATCAATTCCATTGTTATTCAGTCAACAATGGCGATAATCATGATACATAATCAATGGAATCTTTCATCAGTTCCACCAGACGATTAACCAATGAATAACCATGAAATGGACAAAGGTCAATTCCTTCAGAAAAGAGAGAAAGAGTGAAGAATAAGAAGAAAACAAAAAAAAATCATAAGAATACAAATATAACTGTTACTGAGTTGGTTCAGCTTCAGTTCATTTATCTCGATATCATGTTAGCTTTTTCTTTCTCTCAGATTTGTTCAGATAATAACATATTAATATGTGTCCTTGTCCGTTCCTTACCCTGTTCATCTCTCAGTCTATGGATCATTGACATTCACTTTCCATTTTCTCATTGACACCAACACACAGTCAACGAAATGAAAAACAAGACAAGAAAAAAAGAGTAACAATTTTTACCTTTCAGATTCCATGAAATGAACTTTCAAGGGCCATAATTGTCGTCGAACGATCTCTTGGGATAGAGAAAAAAAAGTACACACTCCTAATTGTAAACGAATTAAGTGTTGATAATAATAATTCTCATCTTAATTCTGGTAAAATCTGGTTGAGTTAACATACAAATGATAATCTTGTCATCTTCCTTTTTTTTCATCATCATCATATGTTGATTGTCTTTTCCCTTGTTGCTTAATTTGCTTTTACTTTTTCTCCATTATTGGTTCCTTTTCATCAATATCACCATTTTGTGTGTCTTTCCATCATCAACATGTGAAAGTATTACAATTAATATAATCATAACCATCACAATTTGATGCTGTTACATGAATGCCCTTCTTCACGACGATCATCATGATAGTTGAACTTGTCAAAATTTCAACGTTAACTGATATAACTTGAAATGTGATTTACTTTCTAAATGATGATTATGATCACATTATATTCCATTCATTGGGTTAATATGATAGGTGTTGATATAAAGCTATAAAAGAAAGAGAAAGAGAGAGAGAGAGAGAGAGAGAGAGAGAGAGAGAAAATAAAATCACGTTACAAATCTGATATCAGGTAAATGGAAACAAGAAAAAGCTTCTTGAATTTACTATACATCTAATGGTAAGATATTGACTGTTGATTTAAAGGTTAATCCTGAAAGAGAAGAGAGAGAGAGAGAGAGACCAGATTAAAGAAATGAAATATTGTTACTGTAATTGTCCAATTTACTTTATAGACAAAAAAAGGTAATTAAAAGGTAAACAATTACTTACTTTATGATGAAAATAACAATTATGATCAAGTTAACTTGTCATATGTTTGAAGTAAAACAAAAGTGATTCACTTGATTCTTAAATATATTAAGTTCACGTCTATTAATTGGATCAACAATTGTGAAACGTGATTAAGTTATTACTTTATAATATGATTACAAGTTGATTATAACCAAAAAAGGAAGAAAAATGAAACAATTAAAATCTTTTCCAAACTAAGGTAATTAAAGATTTTTGAAAAAAAAGAATAAGAAAAGTCTTGGAATTAGCTACTAGGTGTCTCTATTGTTCCATAACATATGATTTTCTTTTCGTTTTTTTTTTCTTTGTTAATTTGTTTTTCTGATTAAATTGTGGGTTTAATTGTGATTCCTTTCCATCTTTCAATTTAAATTATTTCGATTTACCTTCTCTTGTTTAGGTTGTGTTTTTACCTTTCTACCATGAGGTAAATTTACTCGAATTCAATGGTCTTGAGGATTTGACGTTCGATGAAAATTGGTAACATTAACATTTCTGGTTTGTTTTGATTTGGAAAAACCCTAAACATCAAATCAATTAATCTAATGTCAGACCCTGATGATTATCAAGGTGACCCTTACTGTTCACCCATTGACCAATTTGGTTCTACTGATGATGTAAAATTTGAACCAGAAATGGACGTACCCAAATTCATGGAGAAACCTTTCATCATTAAATTGGATCTTAATTGTTTATAATTGTAAACATTGTTAACCAAATACCATTAGTACATGTACATGTGTATTTGTGTCTGTTTAATTGGCCTTTGTTTAATATATTTACTTGATTATGATTCGTATATTTAGTTAGCAAGTATAATATGCTTACTAATTATGTTTTATTTTGACAGTTTAAATTGAACACATTAAAATTGTCTCCCATAAATGATAACAATAATTAACCACCTCTGTATTGAGCAACATGAAACTTGTGATATCTTTTTGACAAACAAGAGACAAGCCAACAAATCAATTGTTTTAATCATCAACAGTCACAATTATTAGTCATGAGAAAAAGTTTCATTTCAACTAAATGAATTGATTAAAAAAGAAAAACAATTCGATTATATTCAATATAATTCTAATTTAATCTTAACGGAAGTTTTTTCTCAAATGAAATTATTACGATCAAATGGGAAAGCGAAATGAATAGTAAACAAACAATTCTAATGAAAACAACAACAAATTAACCTTCAGATTTGATTAATAATTAAGAAAGAGAACAATTAATTTAACAAAGCTAATAGTTAATCAAATGATACGATGATGAAAATTGATCCAGAAAATTACAATCTTCGTAATTATCAAAATCGAAAGAAAAAAACTTTTTTGTTATCGAATTAAAAAGTTTAAAAGGAAACCAATAACGAAAGAGAGACAATTAATAATCAATTAAATTTGATTATCGAGTCAAATGAAGCTGTAACAATCAAGTTAATGTCAAAATATAGTTTCAAGTGAAAACTATCAAGGTTAATTCTGGTTTCTTCCCAATATAATAATGTTAAAGTGACTTTTTGATTATCGTTTTTATTTCCACTTCGAAGGTTGAATAATATTGTTTCATCGTTTCATGAAAATAGCTGAAGCCTTGGTGAAAACCGGTTAATATGACGGATCAACAGAATCAACAGTAAACAAGTTAACAAACAGCAACAATCAACAACGAAATGATAATCATAATAAACAGCAATCAAGAGAGAGAGAGAGAGATAATCAACCATCGTTTCAAGATGATAATAATTCAGATTAACCAGAAAGAAAGAGAAAAAGAAAGAGGAAGAAGATGAAAAAATTGTCGAAAACTGAAATTGAGAAAACTTTCAATTCTTGAAAAAAACTTTTAGAAAACAACAAAGTTTAATTGTAGTTAATTAACTGAACATTAATCATCAATTATGCTTAATTTTGACTATCATTTAGTATTTTGTTTTCCAGGTCCGGATTCAATTGCCCTACAAACAATTTAAACGAATCAAATTAAATTGATATTTATTTACAATTAGTTAATCATTTCTCTTTAACTTGAAAGTTTAAAACAATCAACCCAAATGATTAAAACCGGATAAACTCAATTTATGATTATATTATTGTTGCGGGCTAATTGTTTAACATTGAAACAAAGTGTCACTTTTAATTTGGTTAAATTATCTGATGGTAACAATTAACAAATTACGAAACAAAATCAAGGTGAATCATTATTTAAAACCAAATAATCATCTGATTAATTCACCATTTCAATTGTCATTGGATTTTATTTTCCAATCGAAATCAAATCAAATGATTAACTGATAATTAAGCTTTAATAGTAAATCATTGCTCTTTAATTGTGATTTTTTTGTTGTTAATTCTCGTGATCAGATGATGATTTAAATCCAACCAAACCCCTTTGATAATCAATATAAATAATCAATTATCTTGTTTACTAATTATTTCACTTCAATTGAATTAGATTGTAATCAAAGTTGATTATATTATAATATGTGTGTGTGTGTGCAGTGATAATTAACTGATTAGCTAATTATTTGAGAGGATTGGCTGATTAATTTACTGATTACTATAATAATAGAAGTTGTAAAACGGAAAATTGAATAAACTGAGTTAACGGCGATTCTTAATTATTGACTGATGATGGTCA